AGCAGCAGTAGCAGCAGCAGCAGCAGAAGCAGCAGCAGCTACTGCTGCAGAAGCAGCAGCAGCAGCATCAACTGTCTTAACAGAGTTATATATGTAGATATATAAAGATATATAAATTGTGTATAGATAGATCGCAGCGTGCTCATCAGCAGCAGCAGCAGCAGCAGCAGCAGGAGTTTGTTGCTGCTGTTGCTGTTGCTGCTGTTGCTGCTGCTGCTGCTGCTGCTGCTGTATTATAGATGGATATACAGCAGGTTTGTCTTAGCAGCGCTGTTAGCGGCTGTCTTGTTGCTGTCTTATGTACTCCCTTTGATGTAGTAAAAAACTATTGGCAATATACATCTGCTGTTGCTGCTCGTACTGCTGCAGCAGCAGCAGCAGCAGCAGCAGCAGCAGCAGCAGCAGATGGCGCAACAGCAGCAGCAGCACCATCACCATCACCATATCCAGCAGATGTATCCATAAATACCTCTGCTGCATCATCAGCAGCAGCAGCTCCCCCCCGCCGCCCCACCATCCCCAACAACAGCAACAACAGCAACAACAGCAGCAGGAGCAGCAGCAGGAGCAGCAGCAGCAGCAGCATTGAGGTAGCGACCCGTCTATACCGCATGCAAGGTATAAGAGTATTCTGGCGAGGTGTGGGGCCCGCTATGCTTGTATTAATACCTGCAAATATAATATTCTTTTATATATATGAGAAAAGAGACCCTAATGCATCTGCTGCTGCTGCTGCTGCTGCTGGTGTTGCTGCTAGATCTGCTGCTGTATTATTTACTGCACCTATGGAGTTAGTAAGAACACAATTACAGGCCCGTTGCTGCAGCATCAACAGTATCATCAACAGCAGCAGCAGCAGCAGCAGCAGCAGTAGCAGCAGCAGCAGTAGCAGTAGCAGTAACAGTAACAGCAGCAGCAGCAGGAGCAGCAGCAGCAAGATATGGAGACGTAGTGCTGCTGTCTCCTTACTGCAGCAGACAATAAATAAGGAAGGAATAAGGGGACTATTTAAGGGTGTATTCCCTACTATAATAAGAGATGTCCCTTTCTCGGCTTTTTATTGGCCACTTACTCAGGCTACATCCAGGACCCTACACTCCCTCCTTAATAATAATAATAATAATAGTAGCAGCAGCAGCAGCAGCAGCAGCAGCAGCAGCAACAGCAGCAACAGTAGCAGCAGCAGTATACAAGAATTCAAGGATAGAGCTATTATACCCTTCCTCTCTGGGGCTTTTTCTGCTGCTGTTGCATGCGTATTAACTCATCCCTTTGATGTACTTAAAACAAGAATACAATCTGCACAATTTATACCCAACACCCCAACAGAGGGGGGCCCCCATTGGGGCCCCCATGGGGGCCCCCAATCGGGCCCACCATCAGGAGGAAGTGGGAGGGCCCCAGGAGGGGCCCACACCTCAGCCGCGGGAGGCACTCATAATGGTACCGGGATTGTAGGAGGGAGCTGGAGGGGGCCCTCTTCTCCCTCTTCTTCTACCACTTATGGGGGCCCCTCTTCTTCTTCCTCCTTCTATGGGGGCCCCCAAGGGAGGGGGGGGCCCCTAGGTTGGAGGTTATGGGGCCCCTGTTCTTCTTCTTCTTCTATTGGTGGTGGTGTATATAATAGTAATAATATAGGTATAGGGTATAGAGGATTAAGGGAGAGGAAGGGTTTAGGGTTTAGGGTAGGAGGAGGTAAGGGTTTAGGGTTTGTATGTATGGAGGTATATAAGAATCAGGGTATAGGTGGTTATTGGGTGGGGTTGCTCCCTCGTCTCCTTAAGATTGTACCTTCTTGTGCTGTACTATTGGGTACCTATGAAGGAGCTAAGGCTCTATGGGGGTCCCCTCTTAATGAATAACCTAGTCCTCCTCCTCTTGCTGCTGCTGCTGCTGCTGCTGCATGCATGCACATGCACATGCACATGCATGCACATGCACATGCATGCATGCATGCATGCGGTGGTTGCAGTTGCATGCAGAGGCAGCTGGTGCATGCGGTGACTGCAGCTTCTGCTGGTGTTGCATGCAGTGTCTGCAGTTGCATGCATGCAGTATATGGGGAAGTTGGGGCTGTTATTTCTTGTAAAGAACAAAGAAATAACAGTCTAAACCCTAAACCCTAAACCCTAATAAACCCTTGTTTATTATAAACCCTTTTTAATAAACCCTCTTTATTAGACCGTTTATTATTTTATTAAACCTTTGAATAACCACACAGACTATACATATTAGGGTTTAGGGTTTAGGGTTTAGTGTTTAGGGTTTAGACGGTCGGCAAGGATTAGGGTTTAGGGTTTAGGGTTTAGAGAATCTATGCAAGAATCAGGGTTTAGGGTTTACGGCTTGGTGGGCCTATACAAGAAATAGGGTTTAGCGTTTAGGGTTTAGAGGGTTTACAACAATTAGGGTTTAGGGTTTAGAGGTATCATAAATTAGGGTTTTCTAGGGTTTAGGGTTTAGGGTTTAGGGTTTGGGTTACTCCATATATACTAACAATAATATATCTAAATAAACTAGATAAACTAAATAAATAAAATAAATAAATAAAATAAATAAATAAATAAAATAAATAAATAAATAAATAAATAAATAAATAAAATAAATAGATCTATCCAAGGAGTTTTTATAGAGAAAACGCATTTCTTGTTGCTGTTGTTAAATAAGAAAACCCTTAATAGCTGCATATACACCCCAGCTGCAGCAGCAGCTGCTGCTGCAGCTGCTGCTGTTGCTGCAGCAATAGATGCAACAGCAACAGCAAAAGCAGCAAAAGCAGCAAAAGGGTTGTATAGATCTGCTGCTGCTGCTGCAGCATATCTGCTGCTGTTGCATGCAAACAGCAGCAGAAGAAAAAGACAAGAAATAAACAACAGCATATATACTATAAACTCCCCAAACACTGCTGCTGCTGCTGTCTGCTGCTGCTGCTGCTGCTATCTGCTGCAGAGCAGCAGCAGCAGCAAAAAACAGACAAGTAAGCAGCAGCAAGACGCGTGCAGCAGCATGGACCAGTACTACTGCCACTGCTGCAGCGGTTGCATGCGTGCTAAGGAACTCCCAACAGTAGCAGCAACAGCTGCTGCAGCTGCAGCAGCAGCAGCAGCTGCTGCTGCTGCACGAGCTGCTGCTGCTTAATCTGCTGCAGGTGCTGTACTTGCTGCAGCTTCTGCTCCGAGAAACAAACAGCAGCAGCAACAGCAGGAGCAGCAGCAACTGCATGTGCAAAGCTCCTCCTGCTGCTGTTGCTGCAGCAGCAGCAGCAGCAGTTGCTGCTGCTGCTGCTGGTGGCAACTGTGCACCATGCGGATTAAGAAGAGGAGCAGCAGCAGCAGCAGATTAAGGAAACAGCTGCTGCACTGTATCTACAGCACTCTTCCAAGAGGCGCCTGCCCAGCTAGTTGGCTGCTGCTGCTGCTGCTGCTGCTGCTGTTGTTGTTGTTGTTGCTGCTGTTGCAGCTGCACCTGTTGCTGTTGCTGGATCTGTTGCTGGATCTGTTGCTGTAGTTGCATTTGCTGCTGTTGCTGCTGCTGGTGCTGCAGCAATAAGAATGCAGGTCCTGCTGCAGCAGTAGCAGCACGCAGCAGCAAGTTGCTGCTGGACTTTTGCTGCCTATGTGTCTCCCTTTGTGTCCCCCATACATCAAGAGGAGGCAAGGAGAGCAGCATATTTCTTTGCTGCTGCTGCTGCTGCTGCTGCTGCTGTTTAGCTGCTGCTGCAGGCAGCACTGCTGGATCATCATACAATGTAGGCTTAGCAGCAGGTACGTCTTGCTGCTGCAGCTGCTGCAGTGGTGTCCCTTCTGCTGCATGCAGCAGCAGCAGGATACGGCTGCTGTCTTTGATGCTTCTTGCTGCTGCAGTTACTGCTTCTCTTGCTGCAGCAAATGTAGCAAGACCTCCTCCCTCTAGCTGCTGCATGCAGTAGGCATCAACAGCAGCAGCAACATCATTAAATGCTGCCTCCCTTAGGGACAGGGGGGCCCCTGCTGCTGCCTGTATAAGGGGCCTCCATGAGGCCCCCCATACAACGGGTAGCTGTGCAAGGAGACGGCCAAGAGTAACTTCTATATTTGCGTCTGCTGCTGCTGCTGCTGCTGCTGCTGCTGTTGGTGCTGTTGGTGGTGGTGATGCTGCTGCTGCTGCTGTTGATGGGTCTTCTTCTGGTGTACTATGCACCTTTGATGACTTTGTGCTGCTGCTGCTGCTGCTGCTGCTGCTGCTGCTGCTGCTGCGAGGAGACACCTTATGATGATGTCCCCTACGTCCGCCACGACGACGGCCTCCTCCCCCGCCGCTGCTGCTGCTGCTGCTGCTTGTGCTGCTGCTGCTGTTCCTTGTGCTGCTGCCTTGGAGAGGAGCATCTGCTGCTGCTGCATGCTGCCTATCTATACGTATTGTTGATATAGGAGGTGCCGCTGCAGTCTCTTCTGCGCATGCATACTGCAGCTGCTTCTGCAGCAACTGCAGCGGCTGCAGCAGCAGCAGCAGCAGCAGCACACCGCGAGCCATCCTCATCCTAAGGGCAGGTATAAGAAATGCCTCCTAGAAGCCCCATAGCTTCTGCAGCAATTCCTACTGAAATAACTGCTGCTGCTGCTGCTGTTGCTGCTGCTGTTGCTGCTGCTGTTGCTGCTGCTGTTGCTGCTGCTGTTGCTGCTGCTGTTGCTGCTCCTCTTCCTACCGCAGGAGTAATGGTAATGTTTGTGCTGTTTCTACCGGGTACTCCCGCTAAGGCTCCAGCTGCTGCCGATGATGCTCGTGCTGCTGCTGCTGCTGCTGCTGCATATCCTGCTGCCGTGCTGCTGCAAGGCGTACGGCTGTAAACGAAATAGGAAGTATTCTACGGCAGGTTTTGCTGCAGTTGCTGCTGCTGCTGCTGCAGTTGCTGCTGCTGCTAATGGTGTTCTAGGGCGTCCTTAATGGATCGACGGAGGGCCCCCGTTCCAAGACTGTGCAGCTCCTGCTGCTGCTGCTGCTGCTGTTGCTGCTGCTGCTGCAGGTGTAAGAAATCAAATAAGCAGCCTGTTGTAATTCTGTGGTTCCCTGATTTTGTTGCTGCTGCTGTTGGTAGCGTAGGAGAGAGCAGCAGCAGCAGGCTGCTGCTGCTGCCGCTCTTCCCACACCTCCGGGAGCACTAGAAGCAGCAGCGGCAGCAGCAGGAGCAGCAGCAACTGCTGCTGCAGCAACAGTTCTCCTTTGCTGCTATTAAGGAGTTAAGGCAAAAAGAGGATTCCTCTTATTGCTAATTATTCCAGTACAGAAGATTGTGCTCCTTATAACAGGGATCCCTTCTTGCTGCTGCTGCTGCTGCTGCTGCTGCTGCTGCTGCTGTGACGCCGCTGAAGCGTTCGAGCCGCTGCTGCTGCTGCTGCTGCTGCTGCTGCTGTTTGCTGCTGCATGGGGTGGCAGCAGTTGGTCCCCACGAGGTACTTTATAATATTGATAATAAAAAAGGAAAAAAACAAAAAAAGAAATAAAATTTATTTATTGTGTAATTGTTGCTGCAGCAGTAGGATCCATGTAAGAATATAGGATCCTTAGGAGCAGCAGCAGGGCAGCAGCAGCAGCAGCAGCAGCGCACTAAGCAGCAGCAGCAGCAGCAGCAGCAGCCAGCAGCAAGCAGCAGCCATCATCAGCGGCTGCAGCAGCAGCAGCGGCGCCTGCTGCAGCTACTGTTGCGGTGCAGCAGGAAGAGCAGCAGCAGCAGATGCTGCTGTATGTGTGGCATGTCTTTTTGTTTTATAGTTTGACGGTTGCAGTAGGTTGTGTCTGGAGCAGCAGCAGGAGCGGCAGCAGCAGCAGCAGCAGCAGCAGCAGCTGTTTTCTGCCCAGCATCTCAAGCGACCCATGGGCTGCTGCAGGAGGAGTTGCATCATCATCAGCAGCAGCAGCATCCGTAGCATAAATAAGGAGCAAAAGAGCAGCAGCAGCAGCAGCAGCAGCTGCTATCATATATATATATAACAATGTCTTTCTTATACTTTCTCCTTTAACCCAACAAATATACATAATATTATATTTGCTGCAGCAGCAGCAGCAGCTGCTGCCGTCGGCTGGCTGGGGCCCGATCCGCAACAGCAGCAGCAACAACAACAGCAACAGCAGCAGCAGCAGCAGCAGCATATGGTGATTCTTTTCCCTTCTTGCACTTTTGCTGCTGCCTTTTCTTATCCACAAGTACACCCATAGGACTCGCACTACTCACCCCAGGCCTGCAGCAGCAGCAGCACAGCTAATAACAGCAGCAGCAGCAGCAGCAGCAGCGGAGGGAGGAAGAGGGGGAAGGAGACAAGGAGACAAGGAGAGAAGGAGAAGAGAAAGAGAGAGAGAGGAGACAGACAAAGAGACACAGAGACACATTGTGTCTGTGTGTGTGTGTGTGTGTATATATATATTAGCCTGCAGCAGCAGCAGCAGCAGCAGGAGTAAGTAGCACACACACACACACACACACATACACTGCAGCAAGAGAGGAAGAGGGATCATTATCTTCCTCATCAATATCTTTTTAAACAGCAGCAACACCAGCAGCAGCAGCAAACAGCAGCAGCAGCAGACAGCAGCAAACAGCAGCAGCAGCAGGAGGATGGGTTCATGTAAGAGTAAGGCTCGGGCTAAACGTCCTGAGGACAAAGACACACCAACAAACCTCAAGACACAACAACAACAACAGCAGCAGCAGCAGCAGCAGCAACAGCAGCAGCAACAACAACAACAACAAGAGGAGGATGATCATAAGAGCAACAAGAGTCAACAACAACAACAGCAACAAGATGAACAATTATCATCATCATCTGCTGCTGCTGTTGCTGCTGCTGTTGCTGCTGGTGCTATAGATGATGATGAATGTCCTCCATCAATACATCCAAATGATCAACAGCAGCAACAGCAGCAGCAGCAGCAGCAGCAGCAGCAGCAGAATAACAACGAGGAGACAGAAATAACAAGAGAACAACACCATCAGCAACCCCACCCTTTAGACCCATCATTCTCCTCCTCATCAACAGCAGCAGCAGGAGGACAATCAGCAGCAGGAGGACAATCAGGAGGACAATCAGGAGAAGAAAAGAATAATGATGATGAATTAGTTAGTCGTCCTTTAATAACATTAGGTAATGGTGTAACATATATTGGACAATGGAGAGGTAGCTATAAGCATGGATACGGTATACAGGAATGGGGAGACGGTGCTCGTTATATAGGGGACTGGGTAGATGGATATGCATGCGGTCATGGTGTATTTATGCATGCAGATGGTGATTATTATGATGGTAATTGGTATAAGGATAAGGCTAATGGTTATGGTATATATAAACATAATGATGGTAGTATATACAAGGGGCAATGGATAAATGATAAGAAGGAGGGAATATGCATAGAGAGATGGGCAGATGGATCTTTTTTTTATGGTTATTATTATAAGGGGAAGAAGAAGAATTATGGTCTTTTTTTATGGCCAGATAGCTCCCTATACACCGGAGAATTTAATCTTAATTATATACATGGTTATGGTGTATATATATGGGCAGATAAGAGGGTATATATAGGTCAATGGTTATATAACCGCATGCATGGTAAGGGTACATTCTTATGGGCAGATAATAGGGTATATATAGGTCAATATAAGCAGGATAAAAAGGAAGGAAAAGGTATTTTCTTATGGACTGATGGTAGGGCATTTGCTGGCTATTGGATCAATGGTAAACAGCATGGATTAGGTACATTTACTGCAAGAAATGGAGAACAAAAGAGGGGAATCTGGGAAAATGGCAAAAGAATTGCATGGATTGATGATTCTTATACAATACAGCAGCAAGGGCAGCAGCAGCAAGGGCAGCAGCAGCAGCAGCAAGGGCAGCACCAGCAAGGGAAGATACAAGAAAAAGGAGAAGGAGAGGCATTATATTCGTTACAGGAAAAAGAATACAAGAAACAGCAACAAATACAGCAGCAGCAGCAGCAGCAAATGATTATTAAACAGCAGCAAATGCAGCAAGAATGGATACATAAGATACAACAACTGCAGCAGCAAGAATTATTAATAAAAATACAAAATATTAATAATGAGCAAGATATACTGCAGCAAGAGCAGCAACTTAAATTGCTGCAGCAGCAGCAGCAACAACTTATTCAAGAACAGCAGCAAATGATCGAAGAAATCGAGCAGCAAATTGAACAGCAGCAGCAGCAACATATGCAGCACCAACAACTCCTACACCAACTTTCTGCTGCAGCAGGAGGAACAGCAGCAGCAGCAGCAGCAGCAGCAGCAGCAGCAGCAGCAGCAGCAGCAGGAGGAGAAGGGAATGATGAACAGCAACAGATAGAGCAACAAATGCTATTAATGCAACAAAACAGCAGCAGCAGCAGCAGCAGCAACAGCAGCAGACAATCCTTGCATAATTCAGCAACAACCCCACCTATCGTAAACACACAACCATCTGCTACCCATAGTGTATTAAATGCATAAATTAATATATATTCCTCCTCCTCCTCTTGCAGTTGCTGCTGCTGCTGCTGCTGCTGCTGCTGCAGGATATATATTGGTGGGGTTAAAGAAAGAGAGAAAATATAAATATATATTATTCCCTTCTTTTTACGGTTTTACATATATTATTTAGGGTTTAGGGTTTAGGGTTTAGGGTTTAGGGTTTATGGAGCTTGGATGGCTTATAAACCCTAAACCCTTTTGGTGTTTTGGGGTGTATATGCAGCAACTTTTTCTTCCTTTTCTTTTTGTTGCTCATTCCTCTCTCTTAACATCAATCTTTATTCATTGACAGCCTATGCTGCTGCAGCAGCAGCAGCAGATACTATTGCTGCTGCTGCTGTAGCTGCTGCTGCAGCAACAGCAGTTGCAGCAGCAGCTGCTGCTGCTGCTGCAGCTACTCTGTTGCAGCTTTTAGGCGATCGTTTATTTAGTGGAGGGAAATGGCTTCTGTGTCTCTCTGTCTTTTTTGCTGCTGCTGCTGCAGCAACTGCAGCAGCAGCAGCAGCAGCAGCAGCAGCAGCAGCGCCAACAGCAACAGCAGCAGCAGCAGCATGAGCAGTGTTCAACATGTTTTTCTATATAGGTGCTGCTGCTGTTGACTGTAAGGCAGCAGCTAACAGCAGCATCTGCAGCAGCAACAACAGCAGCAGCAGCTGCTGCTGCTGTTGTTGCAGCAGCAATTGTTGCAGCAGCAGCAGCTGCTGCTGCTGCTGCATTCTTGTTTGTTGCTGCAATGCTTTTTGCATTTCTTATTGTCTCCCCAGGCCCTCAATCCGTTTGTTTGCTGCTATTGCTGCAGCTGTTGCTGCGGTTGCTGCTGCAGCAACAGCAACAGCAGCAGCAGCAGCAGCAGCAGCAGCAGCAGCAAAACATAAGAGACAGCATTTTAAAGTGTCTGGTGTTTGCTGCCTGTACACCCCAACAGCCACTAAAGACACAGACACACTATATTATTATTTATATATATTATTTATATTTATATTTATTTATTTATATTTATATTTATATTTATATTTATATTTATTTGTATTTATTTATATTTATATTTATTTATTTATATTTATATTTATATTTATGTATATATACTGTATTTGTATTTATGTATATAAATATATTTATATATTATTTATACATATGTTTATATAGTTAATTATACACTATATATATAATGCATTATATATACATATAAATAAATAAATAAATAAATAAATAAATAAATAAATAAATAAATAAATAAATAAATAAATAGATGAATTAAATAATAAATAAGCATATAAATATTATTTATATTATATAATATATAATATATAATAAATAGATAATATAAATATATAAATAAACATTTATTTTTTTATTAATAGTCTATTAGCTTAGGCTGTCTTCTGCATTGTTGCTGCTGCTGCTGCTGCTGCTGCTGCTGTTGCTGCTGCTGTTGCTGCTACTGGGAGTTAGATGCTGCTGCTACTCATGATCATCTACACAGCAACATCTACAGCAGCAGCAGCAGCAACAGTAGCACCTAACGCAGCAGCAGCAGCAGCAGCAGGAGCAGCAGCAGCAGCAGAAAGCATTATAATGATGTATATAAGCAAACAAACCAATGGATAAGTTTATTCATTTTCTTTCCCTTTATACACAAATAATTTATTTATTTATTTATTTATTTATTTATTTATTTATTTATTTATTTATTTACTAATTTAATTATTTAATTATGTATAATTTATTATTATATATCTATTTATTTAGGCCTTTATTTCTTTAATTGTACAGCATTTGCATGCAACAGCAGCAGCTGCTGCTGCTGCTGCTGCTGTTGTCTTGTAGGCAGCGGTAACACCGCATGCAGCAGACTTACTATGTGCAGCAGCAGCAATAAAATAAATAGAATAAATAAAAAATAAATTAATTTAAATAAAATAAATAAATAAATAAATTAATTAATTAATTAAAAAGGCAATAAACAGCGGTCTGCATGCGTTGTTACCCGAGAAGGATCGTTGCTGCTGCTGCAGCAGCAGCAGCAACAGCAACAGCAGCAGCAGCAGCAGCAGCACACCTACTCTTCTGTGTATATATTTAATTGTATTTTTTTTGTTTGTTTGTGTCTTTGCCTCTTTATAGCAGCAATACACAATGAATGCTGCTGCTTATACTGTACATACATGACAAGGAGCAGCAGCAGCAGCAAGAGCAGCAGCAGCAGCAACTGCTGCTGCATGCAGCAGCAACAGCTAGTAAAGGGATTAAAGGATTCGTTATACTATGCAAGTAACACCGCCACGTTGCTGCATGCAGCTGCTGCTGCTGCCGTTGCGAAGTCTTAGGCCGTGTATCCTTCCTTCTGCTGCTGCTGCTGCTGCTGCAGCACAACCAACTGCAGCAGCAGCAGGAGTACGACAAAGAGGAGGAGGGAGATCAGCAACAGCAGCAGCAGCAGCAGCAGCAGCAACAGCAGCAACAGCAGCAGCACCATTGCGGTGTATGGATGGTTTTGGCGCTGCAGCATCTCTTGGCAGCAGAAGTTTATCTCGGGTGTATGTCCAGCAGCAGCAGCAGCAGCAACAGCAGCAGCAGCAGCAGCAGCGTAATTTTTCCTCTTATTATGCCCCTAAGGCAATATATAGACGTAATGGTCCTGTCCCTTTGCTGCTGCAGACGGGTTGTCCCCCTCGCTCAACAGCAGCAGCAGCAGCAGCAGCAGCAGCAGGTGCAGCAGCAGCAACAGCAGCAGGAGGACCATCCGGTCCCCGTATCCCCTTTACCGCCGCTCGTCAGCAGCGTCTCCTCGAGCAGCTAGCATCAAGCAGCAGCAGCAGCAGCAGCAGCAGCAGCAGGAGCAGCAGGAATAAGAAGAGACCTTTATTATACGAAGGAAGAGTAGTGCAGCAATTAGCAACAAGAAGAATAAATCACGGAGGGCGCAACAGCAGCGGGCAGATAACAGTAAGACACAGAGGCAGCAGCAGCAAGCTGCAGCAGCAGCAGCGGCAAATAGATTGGAGGCGCAGCAGGAAGGAGGTATGGGGTACAGTACTACGTATAGATCATGATCCTGTTCGTGCTGCTGCTGCTGCTGCTCTGCTGCAGTATGATGATGGTGTATTATCTTATATAGCAGCAGCAGCAGCAACAAGACCTGGGGATCGTCTCCTTGCTGCAGAGACAGCTCCCTTATTACCTGGTTGCTGCATGCCTCTTGCTGCTGTCCCTGTTGGCTCCCTTGTCTTTGCTGTTGAGCTGTCTCCTGGTAAGGGGGCGCAGCTAGCAAGAGCAGCAGGAGCTTGCTGCACTCTTATTCATAAGGATATGCCTCGTCCTGCCCCTGCTGCTGCTGCTGCTGCTGCTGCTGCAGGTGCAGCAGGTGCAGCAGCAGCAGCAGCAGCAGCAGCAGCAAAAGAAGGGACAGCAGTACTACGTCTACCTTCAGGGGAGATACGTCGTGTGTCTCTTCGTTGTTGGGCAACAATAGGTCAATCAATGCAGCCATTTCCTGCTGCTGCTGCTGCATCTACCAGCAGCAGCAGCAGCAGCAGCAGCAGCAGCAGCAGCAGCAGTAGCTGCAGCGGGAGTCTACGTCCTGCCCCTCTCCTTAAGGCAGGAGTAACAAGAAGAAAAGGAAAAAGACCATCAGTAAGGGGCAAGGCAATGAATGCATGCAAGCATCCTCATGGAGGAAAAACACAAAAAAAAATAGGGAGACAAAAAGTGTCTCCTTTTGGTGTCTCCTTTCCTAATTATATAACAAGAGATAAAAAAAAACCTTCTTTTTTTATTCTTAATAAAAAAAATAATAATAAATTATTTAACTCCTTATTTAGTAAATAAATTAATAAATTAATTAATTATTTATTTATTTATTTATTTATTTATTTTATTTATTTATTTATATATGTTATATACGTATATGTATACAACTTATGCATAAAAGGAGACAATAACTGTCTCCTTTTTTTGTCTCCTTTTTGTATATTTAAGGAATAATAATACAGGATTTTATTCTTTGTTTAGTTAATCTATTTATTTATTCTTTTTTTCTCTTTTTTATATATTATATAATATATATATATATATATATATA